GACAACTGCTCTATATACTGTATTTTTTATCTGCGAAGAGCTGGGTGCTGAGCGGTTCCCAGGGCATATATACTCGTATTGAAAAGCTGGATCTTGGGGAAAGTCGATTAGGACATATACTGATTTGCAGCTGGGTCCTAATCTGCCCAAGACATATACTTTTACGGATTTTGAGCTGGGTCCTGAGTCGGCTAGAACATATACTCCATTTAGAGCTGGATCCTAGCCTGCCCTGCAAGACATATACTCTGAGCTGGGCCCTGGGAAAAAATGTTCAGGGAAATATTTCTTAGAACACTGATCTGGCTCAGCACATATACATGCAGACATAGAGTGATTTTTGTAAATGGGAATTGGCTGTATGCCAGGTTGCCAAATTCCGTAAACTTGAAAACGTGAGGTCTATGGTAAAATTGCGACCTCATACTAGAGCAATTGCCTCCACAATCACACAACGATAGTGTGTGTGATCCCCATAGACCGACAAACAACGATCGAGTGTTTATCTCACTCTGCAATCAATCGTTTTGAAACGCCTGTAAGGACATTGATTGGCGTGCGAATATATCTGAGGTAACAATCGGAAGACCATCTTCCTAGCGTTTGAATAAGCCAATGAGGCAAACCTTGGGACGCAGCTGTGGTAGCCGCTCCGATTCTAAAGCTGTGGCCTGCATAGTGAGCAGGGTGATGACCACCTTGGGCCAAAAGTGTTCGTAGTTCCTTAGTAAATTGACTACGTGATAAAGAAACACCGTTTGAGTAGCAAAACAATGGTCCCGCATAGTCCGTTGGCGCACGTGAAAGGTAGGTTTGAAGGGCCCTTACTGGACAATATATACCAGAATTGCTGCCAATGGTTATTGTGGCTGAGGCTCGAAACGGATCGGTTTTTGACGCTTTAATTCGTAGTTGCAGAAAAACCTCGTTATCCCCACGTTTTTTGTTATGAAAACTTACATCTGATCGGCAAAGATTTGTTGAAGAATTATAAGGACCGGAGCAAGTCATTTCACCAATCCGCAAAAACCCGAAAAATACACAAAAACCCGAAAAAACAGCAAAGTAAATCAGAATGTTTTCCGTTGTTGGCAGAAGAGGCACATACTTATGTAAATGGAATTGATAGTAGAAATTCGTGAACTGTTTTTCGCCACTGCTATAAGTTTTAATCGTACCTTTAGCTAACGAAGCAAGTTGATAACGACGTAAGTCAGCGTCTAGAGACGAGAAAGTTCCCCTGGTAGAGGTTGAGGTTGATGGTCTGCATGCGGTGCTAGCCGCCGAAATCTGGTTTGCTGAAAACGGGAGATAGAATCAGCAATGTCATTATAATGACCAGGCACATGTAAGGCTTTGAAATAAAAGTTATATTTCAGTGTTTGTAAGGTTAAAGGGCGCACTAAGTCCATAATACGAGGGCTTTTTGAACGTTTGGAATTGATTATGGAAACCACTGCCTGGTTATCGCAGTAAAACACAATTCGTTTTTGAGCCCATAAAGGTGCCCATATGTAGGAGGCTACCACAATAGCATAGAGCTCTTGCCAATCAATGCTGATATTTTTTGTGGTAAGTGTTTGGTGAGGCAACCATTTACCCTGAAACCACTGGTTGCGAAAAATTTCCCCAAAACCAAGGGTCCCCGAGGCATCCGTATAGAGAGAAAGGTTTGTAGAATTTTCCCAGAAAGAGTTGAGAAATAGACTTGTCCCATTCCAGTCTTTAAGAAAAAGTTGCCACATTTTTACGTCTTCGCGAAAACCATTCGTCAAGCGAATGTGATGATGTGGTTTGGAGACACCCCGTGTTAGATTTATGATACGTTGCAGAAAAGCTCGACCCGGGGCAATTACTTTGCATGCAAAATTTAATGTGCTAATTAGTGATTGGAGCTCTTGGAGTGTAGCTGACTTTTTTGTGTGCCACGAATTTAAATCAACAAATAGACGGTTCAATTTATCGGATGGAAGACGAGCCTCCATCTTTTGTGAGTCAATGATAATGCCTAGAAATTCTATAATGAGACTGGGTCCTTCAGTTTTATGCTCGGCAATAGAAACACCTAACGTGCGGAATGTTAGCAACATGCTAGAAAGGCTAGTTTGGCATGCTTGAGAAGGTAGCCCAGTTTGGGCCGGTGGTTCCATGATGAGAAAATCGTCTAGAATGTGCCCAACATAGCTTATAAAACACTTGTTGAGTAAAATCCATTCAAGTGCATCCGAAAGTGGATTGAAAATATACGGCGCACTATACGCAGACCAAATGGCAACACTTTGTCAAAATAATAGGACTTGTTCCAATATATGCCTAATAACTCCCAGTCGTCAGGATGAACAGGGAATTGACGAAAAGCAGATTCTATGTCAGTTTTAGCTAGATAAGTGCCTCTGCCTAATCGGATTAAAGCCGCAATTGCGTCGTCGATTTTTATGTACTGCAATGAAAAGTCGTCTTTCTCGATAAAGGAATTGATTGATTCTCCCGTTTTTGGAAACGAGAGGTGAAAATGGTTCGAAATTTATCTGAATGCTTTTTAGGTACAATGCCAATTGGCGAAACCTGTAAATTAGCAAATGGCGGATTGGTGAAAGGACCAGCTGTGTGGCCAAGAGCAACGCTAAGTTAGTTGAAACAATAGTTGGATTGTCAATGGCAGACTTGAGGTTTTTCGAAAATTTTGACATGCGAGGACCATCGTAACCGAGACGAGCACCGAAACGCAAGTCTGAACAGAGTTTCAAAACGAATGATGAATTGGGATGCCCACAAAGAGCACCTTCAAGCGCGTCAACGCGAATTAGCGTAACTATAGTATTATCTAAAGGTATTGAATTACTGCTATTATATATACTACACTTTAAACTAACAGTTCTATTTTCTGTTGGTCTTCGCGGAGCTACGGGCGGATTGTGAAGGGTGGTCGTCGTTGTGATCGTTTTCCCCATGGGATTGTGGACATTGGTACCCAGGATGGTTCCCCCCACAGCGAATTCGGTTACATCGGTGAGTGTAAGGGCAATTGGGTCGTAATGGGCAAGGTCTACCCCTGTTGTAGCTGTGGCAAATTCCGTCCCTCGCTGCCCCAGCTTTGTTTGAGGGTCCGTTAGAAAAAAGGGAATAATCTTCCCGCAACTGAGTAGAGCTAGCGGTGAAAATACGCAACCATAACTGCATGTCAATGTTGGCCCACGACAATGTTCGACACGCGGAGGCTTCATAGCGAAATTTATGATCATATATGCACCAGCCTAAACCGCCATGCGTTTTTGCCGCATGACGGATGGTTTCCATGTACTGTAAAAGTTCTGATGCACGATTTGGAAATTTTTGTACTATGATTAACATATACGTGTTGAAAGCGGTTGTCCACTCTTCAATGTTAGTCAGCACTTGAGGCTTGCGCGGCGTTAATGAGATTCCCGTAGAGGAAATTGTGAAACCCACGTTGTCAGAAAAATCGGAACCAACATTTAACTTATTTAAATTTTTTGGCAATAATTTAGCAAGCTCAAAAAACTCACCACTTTCGATGTCACGAACGTATTTGTTTGGAATCTCTGGCGTGAATCCCCCATCTGCTTGCTGGATTGAGGCAACAGGTCCATGGGATGAAGTCGGCTGCTGCTGGAGCTCGCTGGAACTTAAAAATGGAAATTGACCAAGCTGTTCTAGCCTTTCGAGTGGCGTTGGCGGTGGTGGGATAGTTGGCTGCTCATCTACACGAGTCGCGGTTGTTGTGGCGTGTTGGCTTTCGAAGAAAGACGAAATCGACTGCGAAACAATCTGCGTGATCTGTGCCAGTTGGTCGGCGCTGAAGCTTTCCCTTGCGTTGGAATTAGATAACGTGTTGTTTACTGGAACGGTTTGAATGTTGGATTGCGGCGTATTCGTGTTTAGACGTTCTCTTTCGTTGTAGACGCGTTGTAAGTACCCGTCGGCCGCCAGCGCAGGAAAAGTTGAGTTCGCGGCAAAGGTTCTTCAACTCTAAAATTGATAACTCGCCCAAATTGCTCGGTACTTCGACGGACGGTTGAATACTGGATGGTCGTTGATCCTGCTGCCGTGGTTTGCTAACTCTTGGCATTATTTTTGGTGGACGTTTAGAAATGATAAACGTGAAACGAATAATTTTTTAAATGACTCTTTAAATCAGTCTTTACAGCTCGCAATCCAAGTAAGAATGATATAGGCAGATAAAGCTAACTCGGATATCTGCCCATGTTTAACTATAGTTTCATTGTTATAGTTATGAATAGGTCAAACATAGTGGTTTGGACAATAATTAATAAACGATACTGGGTGCAGTAGCCTACGGGTTTGGAAGCAAATAATGAAAGTCTGTGATAGAGTCTTCCTTTGTTTAGACAATAGTAGCTTTCGAGTTGGCTTAACATAGACATTTTAAATCTATAATTTTTAGGTCTAGCGCATTGAGTATCGTCCATTAACAATAATTTGTACTCGTAAAAATTACCATTTAAATAGTAAGTCACTCATTCAACGCCTAATATTAATAAACCTGCTATAGGTAAGTTACATTACACACAAGATAAATTCAGACATATACAAGTATATCTATAGTTAATTCAGTCTATAGTCATTGTTCGAAACATGTCTTATAATTTATTGCTGAATAAATAACAATCCTTTCTATTTCAACACATAATTTCCTGGCTGATTTCCCCAAGACTCCAGGGATCCTTTCCAATTGATCTTCAAAGTTTTTGCTACCAATCCCAGTCACTCCAGCTACACCACATAAACTACCTTCAATTTACGCCATCGTCGTAGCTCACTGATTTCCACGGCTAATTTTTATAGGCTAAGTATTTCTTCATCCAGCTTCCTTCTTCCTTCGCAGATTTTGATAATATAGCAAATGCCTACTACTATTGTTCCGCACCACTGTTGTTTGCTCTCACTGAAACAGTATATATCTGAATGGCTCGGTAAATTTCAATGATAGGTCGTATGATGACTATATGATCCCGCTGTATAACCCACTCATCATTTTCAACTATATCGATGATACACTCTGCTCAGTTGTCCCACCAGGTTATGTTTTTAATAATTCTTGCACAGTCTTCGTGCCTGTGTTTTATTACTGAACCAAGTAAACCTTACCAAAAGCCAACAAACGCACAAGATTTTCCATACTTTCCCTGACAGCAATAATTTTCCACCTGCAATCAACCTATAATTATAGCCGTCTGATAGTTTCTAGTCCATACTATTCCGTCGTGAATGGCTAGCCATAAGCGTTGCCTCAATTAACTGCAGAGATTGTAGTTTTAGTTTGGTTTATCATGTTGAAACTGCATCTGATATCCGAAACACCTCAACTCTCCAAAGGGAAAGTGTCGGAAAAAATCAAAGGATTCGTATAAGAAAACAATTATGGCGTAGAAATCAGATATATTTAGAGCTGCACTACATGTATGTTTTCAGTATTCGTGGATTCTAATTACGCATCTGGAATATATCCCTAGAATGTAATGAGAACTCAATAATGGCACAACAATGAGCCCCTAAAAAGAGGAGTTTCATTATAGTTTGATGAACTTTTTGAAACGTTTTGCGCGAAGCGCATGTGGCTGAATTTCACAGTTTATATTACGTTACATTACAGTTTATATTACGTTTATATTTCACAGTTTATATTACGTTTATATTACAAGTTTATATTACGCGTATATAATAACATACTATAACGTATATATTTGGGAAATTGATAATTTTGTATATAACACCTCAAATACTTCATGTTTGGAAAATATAATGGTTTTGTGAGCAAGGCGAGAGGTTTCTGCATGTATGTATTTCTAGTTATTTGTTTGTAATGTAGCATAATTATTCAGATACCACGTACAAAAAATTAACAATATTGTTAAAGCTATTTCCTTTATTGCTTCTTTCTCTTTAACTGCACAATTCCATGATCACCTAAAGCAGTCACGTCGACAGCTTTGAGTTGTAGATTGCTGCACTTCAATAAGACTGCTTTTTAGCGGGCTATTTCACCTATTATAGAAAATCTAAAGAAAATTATTGAGTCGCAACTCAATCTGCAGGTGCTACAATTTATATGGCGTTAGCATAGGCAAGGAAATTTCGTATTTAACGCAAATATGCTAAGGGTACTGATTGTATGTTTTATGGTGAACTTTTCTGGCATTTAGCTATTTAAAGCTTCGATTCGTAAGCTGCCCCTCCTGCGCTCCTTATACTGAGCGATCTAATCAGAGGTCATGCAACATGCATGTAGAAGTCATGCAACACGCACTAGGCCACCAACACTGAACGACCTAATCAGAGGTATAACTGAACCCCATACCAATAAACAACGAAAATGTAAAATTGTAACAAGGACTAGCTAATGGTATAATAATTTTGATAAAATAATACACCCTTCCGGAAAATACTTAATCGTGCCTATATATATAGAACCTCGTGTTTGACACATTGACATAAAGGCCCTTTATTGCTGATTACAGAATATCACAGTTATATACTATATGGTTTAGTAAATGTGTCAACTGTAACAAGGTAAAGAGCTCTAAACCCAATATCTGAATCACGAAAACGAAGCTCAATATAGTCAAGATTGAGCACTTTTCGGAATGGTGTTTTGATATATTTTATATATAAGTGCAAAATTGTTGTCCATTTTGTACTGAAAATGCAATCACAGCGCACTGTCTGCTGATATTGTATGTAAGCTACAATATCATATTAAATGTAGTCCATACGCATGATATGAAGCAAAAAATACTGTTTTGTTTGTAGGTCAGAATGGAGAGTTTGAGGGAAGCGCAGAACCAGGTCTGGGAAATGGTAAGTGCCCGCAGTAGGATAATTTCTCTTCTTTTTCTTTTTTGGAAGCCGCCTTTTTTTGTAGATTGTTTAAAATACCGCAATAATAACTAATAGAATACCATACGATAGCCTCAATATTTAATACATTTATCATGCAAGTAAGATACGATAACTACGATAACTGTTCGTTGTTTTGTTATAGGTCGGTGTATTGATTACACTGGCGACACCCAGATCAATTTTCAAATATTCCAAGATTCAGCTGGCTGTGTATCGCTGAATCTACCCGTGATTGGATTCAATTTTAAAGGAAATGACTTCACAAGAG